ATGAACTTAGAAAGTTATTGACACCGTTGAATACTGTCTTTTTACTCGTCAACTCGCGTTTAGGAAAAGTCTAGATATTTTTTTTATTTTAAAAAATCTATTTAACAGAAGTTAATTTCTAAAATTGATTGCTCTTGACTCTTAAACAATTTTTATTTAGTCTTATTAATGGAGTTGAGTCTAATAAAAAATATTAATTCTTCAATCACAATGTGACAAATTAAATTTTAAATTTATTTGAGAGAAATGTTTACATTTATACCTGACCATATATTAAATTTTAGTAATTAAAAAAAATTTTCAATAATTGCTTTCCAATGATAAAAGTTGGGTTGAATTAATTACTTTTCAAACAACTTTCACTTTTAAAAATTATTTTTTAAAAAAATATAGCTAAACATAAATCTGATTACAATACTTAATTTTTATTAAATTGACTTTTAATAAATGAATTTTTGATAAACTAAAAACAAAACATCCACTTAAACAATAATACATTAATTAACCACAGGGCAACCACAAAACCACAAAAAGCCATGATACCTATAATTATTATAATTAGATATTAAATTTTGAGAATTCCTCTGGTTCTGAGTAGTTAACAAATGAAAAAAATATTTTTAACATAGTTATTATTTAAAAGAAAAATACATTGGCCGTATCTTACTTAGAACCCATTCCTGATTGGACCATAATTGATTTCAATCTATTTCAAAATATTTTCATATTAAGTTTTGTAAGAAAAAAAATGCCAAGATACAAGCAGTTTACATTTAGAAAATGATTTCATAGACTTTTCATTGATATTATTAATTTATTACAAACTGATCCTGATTCTATTTATAAATAATTTTTAGTATCTTTCATTTCAAGAATAATTTTAAATTTATTAATTTTATTTTAAAATTAAAAATTTAATAAGTTTTCACGTCTATACCTAATAAAAATAAAAGAATATTTAATCTAAAAAAATAATAAAATACACTCTTTTTCTTTTATAAATGGATGGAAGAGTATAAATATTATATTTTTCTGTTAAAAAATATAAAATATTTTTTGAAGAATTAAATTTAATGAATATAAAATATTTTTAATCTTTTAAAATATAATTATTATTTTTTATTTTTAAAAATATTATCATTAATAACGATTTTATACTTATTAGAAGTATTTAATAAAAATAAATTTAAAAATATATAATCACCTTGTTGAAGATAAGGGTAAATTTTTGTCAGAGGGCAGAACTTTCCAGAAAAAAGATGCTTGCGCTTGTTTGCTTTTTCTTCGCAGGAAACGTACACTTTCTGCCCCTTATTAATTGTCATTGAACAAATACTAAAGTCAAACACTTGTGCGTGTTATGTATCAGGTCAAACGTCTCATCTAAGCTATGAAAACAAATACAGCTTTTTCCACAGCATAACTACTGTATAATGTATATATACGTAGAGACCTAACCGTATATCTCGTGAGTCTTGACTGGCGTAATAGTCTGCATCGTCGCTGATGCAGCCACCAAGTCGCAGACTTGCATTTTCTATTCCAAGTTTCCAACTTTTACTGTACCATTGATTATTACATATCCCAACTTGTACAATTTCCCTGACAAAATAGATTCTTGTTTCATGTATAAATATCTGCATTCTCGCCGCCATTGATGGGCCATGCAGAATCTGCAACTTAGCTTCTTGTTGTACTCATGACATTATATAGGCTTCTCGCTTTCGTCCTGCTGTTTCTCCAACTTCACTTTCAAGGCATCCTCTGTGATGACAAAGATGCCCTCCTTTCATTCAAATCCCAAGTCACTGATCCAAAGAGATTCTCTCTCTGGCTGGAATTCTAATTCCTCCATCTGCTCTTGGTATGGACTCTCCTGCACCAGAAACACTAACAGAGTTCAATCTCTCAGTCTACCAGGATTAGGCCTTTCTGGTAATCTACCCTCTTCCCTCTCCAATCTTACTCATTTACAATCACTTGATCTTTCCAGTAATGCATTCCAGGGCCGTCTTCCTTTGGAGCTCTCGAATCTCTTTCTTAATACCATCAATTTAGCTGCCAACAATCTCATTGGTACCCTTCCTTGGCAATTATCCCTTCTAAACCAGCTTCAAGTTCTGGACTTCTCTTCGAATAATTTCACTGGTCAAATCCCTCCTGAATTTGGAAACTTTCTTCTCTCAAAAACCTTTCCTTGGCAAGAAACCATCTTTCTGGGGAGATTCCCAGTGATTTAGGAAATCTTCGTAATCTTTCTCATCTTCAACTCTCTCAGAACTATTTCTCTGGGGACTTTCCCATTACTATCTTCAACATCTCTTCGTTAACCTTTTTATCTGTAACACAAAATCACTTTTCAGGAAAATTACCACAAGATATTGGCGATTCTCTCCCTAATCTCCGAAGTCTCTATTTGGCTGACAATATGTTTGGTGGTGTGATTCCTGATTCCATATCCAATGCTTCACATATCCAAGACCTCGATCTTTCTCACAATCAATTCCATGGATACCTTCCCCTGTTCAGCAACATGAGAAATCTCACCTGGCTAATTTCAGCAACAACCATCTCTCTTCCAGAACATCAAATAATTCTGATTTCTTTGATTCCTTATACATAGCCCAAAGTTGAAAATTCTGATGATCGACTCTAATCAGTTAGCAGGGGAGCTTCCAAGATCTATAGCAAATCTTTCAACCACTCTAGAACAATTTTGTGTATCTAATAACTTTTTCAGTGGAAGTATCCCTCAAGGTATAGGAAAATTTCAAAACCTCGTGTCCCTATCTTTTGAAAATAATCATTTCACTGGGGAGATACCAAGAGACATAGGAGCATTGAATAAACTGGTGCAACTTCTTGCATACAAAAACAAGTTTTCAGGAGAAATCCCAGACATGTTGGGAATTTCACTCAACTATCAATGCTTGCATTGCATAATAACAAGTTGTTTGGCAGAATTCCCTCCAGCATTGGACAATGCGAAAGGTTGAACTATTTGAACCTTCAAATGAATAACCTTCATGGGACCATACCAGAGGGTATTTTTAGGCTTTCTAGTTTAACCACATTGTCCTTAGCTGGGAATACCCTGCATGGGTTCCTCCCTTCTAAAGTGAGCTCCATGGAGCAACTTCAGTTCTTGGACATGTCTAATAATCTAATGACCGGATATATTCCCGAAGAAATAGATGGCTGCACAAGCTTGCGGATGCTTCAATGGCAAGAAACAAATTTAGTGGTCCAGTACCAAGTACTTTGGGGAATCTAACGTCATTGGAAATGTTGGATTTATCTTCAAACAACCTCTCAGGTCCCATCCCTTCAACTTTGGAAAAGCTTCGGTATATGGTGAAGTTGAATTTGTCTTTCAACCATTTGGAAGGGGAAGTTCCCGTGGAAGGTGTTTTTACCAACCTTACCCAGGTTACTCTCCTAGAAAACAGCAACCTTTGCAGTCCTAACAAAGAAGTTGCGGAAAGATTAAGAATCATTGCATGTGTCAAAGGTAAAAGGCACAGATTCTTACTCCCTCTCATACTTGCAGTAACAGTTGCTTCTATTTTTGCATTTCCATCTGCTTAGTGTGGGTGAAATGGTTCCGAAAGAAGGAAAAGAAGAATGATAAAACAAGTTTGTCGATTTCTCCTCTCAAGGGAGCTCCTCAAAATATATCGTTCTCTGATATTCGAGCTGCCACAAAAAATTTCGCATCCGAAAACTTGATAGGAAATGTGGTGGATTTGGCTTTGTCTACAAGGGTGTGTTCAGCATCGACCAATGTGAAACTACTCTCGCCGTGAAAGTGCTCGACTTGAAACAAAGCAAGGCTTCTCAAAGTTTCAGTGCAGAGTGTGAAGCCTTGAAGAACGTTAGGCACAGGAACCTCGTGAAGCTCGTCACTTCTTGCTCTAGTATTGATTATAAAGGTGATGACTTCAAAGCCTTGGTTATGCAATTCATGACCAACGGTAATTTGGACACATGGCTGTATCCAGTGGACGAAGAATCAGGGTCCTCCTTGAGCTTCTTGCAGAGATTGAATATTGCTATAGACATTGCTAACGCAATGGACTACTTACACCATGACTGTAACCCACCAGTAGTCCATTGCGATCTAAAACCTGGTAATGTCTTGTTAGATGAAAATATGGTGGGCCATGTAGGAGATTTTGGCCTGGCAAGGCTTCTTTCCCAGGATTTATTAGAGTCCGTCACCCTAGGACTGAAGGGTACCATCGGCTACATTCCCCCAGGCACGTAGAGGAAACTACCATCCTTATTATTTGTCGAAAAACAATAACCTAATACCCGTACAAATTTTCTAACGTCCTTGTAATTTTGTTTCAGAATATGGCCTAGGTGGCAAAGCTTCAACCTTGGGAGATGTGTACAGCTTTGGGATTTTACTTCTCGAGATGTTCATAGCAAAAAAGCCAACTGATGAGATGTTCAAGGAAGGATTAAGCCTTGAAAAATTTGCATCGGCAATGGATGAGAATCAATTAGTGAATGCAGTTGATCCAAAGCCTTTTAACGATTTTGAATGGCCAACACAAAGCTCAAGCACTGGCTATCCTAGTGAAGGCACTAGTGACAACTTTAATAGTGGTCTCACGTTGCGCCAGAGCAAATCAGAGGAGTGTGCAGCTGCAGTGATTAGAACTGGCTTGTCTTGTGCAGCTGAAGTGGCCACAAATCGCTTGACCATGAGACAGGCCTCAAAACAATTACAAGGAATCAGGCAGACTCTGCTGGCTATATGAATTTTACAAACACATGTAAAAGTTAAAAATTAAAACACATATGGCTCTGTGTTCAATCATTGCTGTAGTTTTTCTTGTACAACGCATTGGCTTTTGTGTTTCGTTTGTACGTACGTTGATATTTCACTCGGAGCTCTATCACTTTTCATGAATTCGCTAGTAATAGCAAATAAGTGTAAAAGCTTGCCTACTGCTACTTGGCGGCCACATATGAGTGCAAAGCTCATATAAATGCAGAGTGATCAGCTGAGCACGACTCAGATTCGGATCCGAGCAAGTGAGACAAGCAGAGAAAGGGGGAAAAAAAAAATAAACTGCAGAACACCTGACCTGAGATTAGAATCCAATGAAGTTTGACTGGTCCACAACTTTGCCGTATCTTCCAATTATTACGAATCAAAAATGAAGTTTCCTATTTGGAAGAGGACACATTGACTGTCAGTTTCTTTGTTGTAATTGAAAAGCTTGTGGGGATCTCATGCAATTATCATGTAACCTCAAACTCTTCCACTTGGATCACTTCCACAACATTAAGTTCTTCGTTCGCCGTCGGCGATCTTCGGTATTATATTTTCGAAAACTTACGCACTTTCATTTATTTATAAATATATTTTTACATATTATGCGTAATGAACGTAAACGTTTTATATGCATATGTCTTGAATACTCTAGAATGATTTTATGAGTGGCTCACAGAGAAAGAGAGCATTTCAGGTTACTTGGATCTCTAATGAGATGACTATACTTAAATAATGACAAACCAAAGATGCCTGGAAGCAGAATAGAATAAACACCTCCCTCTCTTTCCTTCTGTGAGCATTTCAGCTTTTTGCATTATCGAGAGTGCTTTCTCTTTGAAGCTTGTCTCGAAACACTGGCAGTAAGCAGCATCAAACACGCCACAGAAAACACCAAAGTCCTGAGCATTATTTACTGCAAAGTAATAAATCATAGTTTATGTGCATACATAATAATGCATGGCGCCGCTGTTCCCAAATGCAAGGACTGGCCTATAACCCACATGCGGCAGACTGACATGATTTCAGTTATCAAAAGCAATGACTAATATGATTTTGTTTTTACCTCATCATTCTGATCTTTCCATGCATGTTGCATTTAAACATACCAACCACTCAGACCCAGAGGAGCTACAAAGAAAAGAATTGGATCTGCCTTATTTATATGCAGACATAGATTTTGGTGCAGAAGCTGTTTTATTTTTCATGGGGAGGCAGGAGCAAGCTCTTGGCTGACTGCAGTGAAAAGGGCTTTCAGGTCTCCAACGAAAGAAAACGATAAGAGAAGAGCAGTAGCAGGAGAAGAGAAGAACACGAACAGCAGGAGGAGGAGGAAAAGTACAATCTCAAAGACCCTTCTGTTCTTCCCTTTCTATACTTCCTGCATACAGTGTAATAACTGACTAAGAACCAAATAGGATGATTTCGTTTACGTCTCTGTGTAATATTGCAGAAGAGGGGGAAAGCGACGATGGATTTTTAGGAAGCCTTTTAGTCAAGAACCAGAAGTCTCTCAGGTTTTTGAGGAGAGAACTACAACCACCATCGCTGATATTACAGCAACAAGTAGTAATGTTTCTGAGGCAGCTGATGATGATCCGCAAAGACACGCCATTGCAGTAGCCATGGCAACTACGGCAGCTGCTCAGGCAGCCGTAGCATCTGCTCAGGCAGCCGTGGAGGCTGTTCGGCTTGCAAAGCCGTCCATCTTTGTCAGACGCCATCATGCTGCCACGACTATTCAAGCGGCCTTCAGAGGTTATCTGGTAAATAGCGAAGTTGATTTGTTCACTGATTGCTATGTATCTTTGAGAATGAAGCTCATTGTTGTGTGGTTTAATTTGAACATGAAAGGCGAGAAGAGCACTAAGGGCACTTAAGGGGTTAGTGAAGCTGCAGGCATTAGTGAGAGGTCATAATGTCCGCAAAAGAGCAAAATTCAATCTTCAGTGCATGCAAGCCCTTGTTCGAGTTCAATCACGGCTGTGTGAACAGAGAGCAAAGAGGATTTCTAATCACGGAGGAAGCTGATTCCAGACTAAGTGATTCCTCTAATATCACCGTATGTTAGTTTCATCTTTCAATATTGTGTTTCTAAAGGATGCCTGGCCCTCTACATATGAATGATATGTTTTCTGTTTGACTTCTGCAGTCTAGAGATGATGAAACCCAAAAAGTTGACAGGATTCGAGCAGCTCTAAAGAAAACGACAGAAGTTGCCTCAAAAAAAGGAAGAGGTTCTGGCTCATGCTTTCTCTCAGCAGGTTAGATAGTTTCATAAACCTTTGTTTTCAATTTCCTAGTTTTAAAAATTTTCGTCAGTGCCACAGCACGAAGCAACGTTTTGCTTTATATGTAACAAGATATGGAGAACTTGCGGGGACCCCATCAGCGCCAGTGAGGGAGAGGCTGAGGAAATCTCTAGATGGTCTGATCAATGGATAGGAAGAAGAAGAAGAAGCTTGAACAGAGAGACTACAGGGAGAGCTTCGTGTGATCGAAGAGACCTATCAAAATAGTTGAAATAGACACCTTTAGACCCTACTTCCACACAGTACCCACCGATACCACCACGCAGATCATCATCATCTTGTGGTTATTGTAAGCCTCAGCTCGATTCTCCGCTCAGAACCCATACCCTTCCTTTGTCTTCACCATTGCATAAAGCCCACTGTGATGCCTCTTTCCAGTCTCAACTAGTCACACCATCACAGAGAAAGATGAAGCAGCATCTTCAGGTGCATTCAGCTAGTCCTCGTTGCGCCACCAAATCCATATATTCAATGCATGATGTTTCAGGGCCCACTTCAGCGCCTAACTATATGGCTGCCACAGCATCTGCGGGCTCGGCTTCGGTCAATGAGTGCACCCAGGCAGAGGACTTCAAGCCTGCAAAAGTAGCATAACTATAACACTCGACATCTTTGGTCAAATATTTGATTAAGATAGTATTTTGTGTCCAACATTGTTTAGCTCAAATTGTAGAACCTTGGGCAGACAGCTACAGATGAGTGATCTCAATCTAACAAGAGAGAAAAATGTTCTTACTTAATTAACCAGCATTAGCCTGCCTGAAATGGCATCACATCGTCCAACACTTAAAGCAATTAGGATGAAGGGTGGCATGAATTAATGTGGTGATACAAAGGAGGATGCTCTGTTCTTCTGCATGTAGATGCATTTAGCGACTGAAAAAGAGGATGGTCAATAGAAGCTTTTTAGGTGAGGTGGTTTTTTTTAAAAAAAAATTTCTTATCTTATTAATTGAGGGTGGGGTATTTTTGTGTTAGCATTCATATTCCTCTTTTACAGCCTTTTGCAGAAGATGGTATTCGTTCCAACTTTAGCATGTTGCATTACCAAATTCGTGCTTTAACGGGCTCTTTAGTCCACGGTTTTCGAGTAATGTTTTCTAGGGGAGGAAAAAAAGCGATAACAGTCATGACTAGGTCAAAATTATTGATTTCATCATCTGCTCGCGCAAGAAATAATTAAAATCAAAGACTTTGGTTTACTACAATTTCCTCGAACTTTTAGACTGGTATTACATCACAAGTCCCAATAATTATCATCCTCCTCCCACTCATTATAGAGTACTCTTTTAAACTAGTTTTGTTCTCAGCCTCACAAATAAAATTACCCATACTCGGAATCGAGTGTGGCGCGCGTGCAAATATGCACGGCATAACACGATAAAACTAGTTTGGAGTGCGTTCTGACTTGATTTGGGTTAATCTAGATCCGAAGAATGTTGGACCGGGTGCACATGAAAAGGAAACAAAAAAAACAAAGATATTAATAATTTCAAAAATTTTTAGGAATGGGACCGCCTGATTCTGCGAGAACAGGACATCTAATTTCTTCATAGGCGCAGACATGATCACCCGATTTGAAGCTGTCGAGGGAAGCTCATGCCTCAGGGGGACATGCAGCATGAAACAGCCAAGTAAAAAAAAAAAAATGGTAACATGTTCAACTTTTTCTCCTGTGGCCATGCAGTACCAAAAAGCACCAACTATTGGCACGCCTCATCTTTGCGTTCCACCTCTCCAGATCCGTGCTTCCCTCAATTTTATCTATTGATAAAATAACGGAAAAAGGCGACGGACAGAATTTTTGGGCTTCCAGATTTCCAAGTCTCTCAATGTCGACACGTCTTACCGGATGGCGTTAAGAATTGACCCGTCCACATTGAAAGTGAGATCGCAATAATCATAGTTGCTTGGCTTGGAACTTGGATTAACTAACTGGTACTAGTAGAACCCAAAAAGCCAAAAAAAAAAAAAAAGGAATGAAAAATATTCGGAGATATTTTCCCTTGAAACTTGAGGATGAAAGGGAGTTGACCTGGTCAATGTCAGATCCGTCGGACCAGACATGGCCACGAACAAAAAATAATTCCCGCAGACCAGTCCCCATAACAGATATCATCCCGACCTGAAAAACAGAACACAGTCTTCCTTCACAGTAACATAAGCACAAGTCGCCCAGATTTTTGAGTATACAAAACACCCAGAGAAATCCTTAAGCTACCTAAATATCCAACCAAATCAAGATTACATAATACTTGATACCACATCCCAAATCAAGCACCTCAACTCAAAGATACTAATTTGCTTTATTGAACAAGAGCAACGCAAACTCAGAATTGGCCCTTGAAGATGCCACTGTGGGGCTACTATTGCTACTACAATCAGATATGGATCCCAGCGTTCTCTGCAAAAACCCCAGATGGAGATGACACATTGTTGCCAAAGGACTGCCTGATTCGGCATTTGTCATGACCGGAGACTCTGGATTGAGGCCGCCTCTCGTTGGCCCGGAGCCCCCGCGCTTGGCCTTAGAAACCTCAGCTAGGGGACCACCAGGTGTTGAACCCCCCCAATGTGCGGCGGCAGGAGTGAGCCAACTAGCAAGATGGGTTTGTTGCCATTTTCTGTGTTTCCACCTGGCTCCATTAGGCCTAAACCCATGTGAATAGAACGCAGTTCTTCATCCACAGCCAAACCACCTGCCATTGATAGATCGAGCGAGGAAAGGGATAATTTAGCATTTGACGAAACAGGACTTTTGCTGGCGTTGGCATTATTGTTTTCCGCTGTTTCAGCATAGACCAAGCGTCAATGAATCCCCTGGTTTTCGGGGCTCGGGATTCTCCATGGGAAGGAGCGGATTGAGGAACAGAGAGCAATGTC